GAATGCCATGCTTTGACTTCTGTCCCCTTGAACACTTACCGTGTATAACCCTTGATGGAGGGTCCTGGGCGTGTAGCAGAAGTCAGAGGGTTTAGTTTGGTTGATGTTGAGCTCATTATGAATTAACAGTATCACTTTGTATTTTCCTGCTTTGGCTGGCAGCTCAACAGAAAGTTCTTTTCGAAAGCCCCAGCCTGATTTCACTATCAGCCACTTAACCACGATATTAATTCTTTCAGTTGCTGAGCTTGTAAGATTTTCAATGACTGTATGCATTGGAAAAGAGCTCTGTGGCCGAATCAGAACTGTTTACTAAATAGCACTCATCTTTGAGTTGCTGGAGTCCCCAGGCATTAGAAATGCCCTTCCCCCACCCTTACCATTTAAAAAGCACAATTGGTTACACCTCGTAGCATTTTGCTGTAGGAAATGACGTTACAAGTAAGTTCTGAATTCCGAAAAAGTAATTTCATAGAGCCTAGATAAAAATTCAGCTGACACAGGACACTTGACAGAATTGCCTGTGTTTGACACTCCGCATTGTGAAAGCTTTCAGTGGGGGCTTTCAAGTAAAGAGAAAGCTGGGCCTTGGAAGTCCCCTCTGCTCAGTCTGATACTGCAGGGCTGGTGACTTTTACCACAGATTGTAGCTTTGGAGTAGCTTCACCATAAGAGCACCTATATATTTCATTGTGTTTTCTTAAAGTTTAAGTATCAGGTTTTTGGTGTGCAGTGCTTTCTTAAATACTGAAACTACATGTTCTCTGGGTAAAGATGCACCTAGTCAGAATTTCTCCTTTGGAGAATTTTTTTATACATGTTTAAAATTGCCTTCTAAGTTGGCCTTCCTACTTAGTATTAAGAACTTCTGTTTCAAATGAAGGGCCAATTTTATTGACCAGGTGTCGATGTCTGCAGTTGTCAGACACACTGCATGTAGCAAAGTAAAGTATTTTTGGTTGATGTTTCTCATTCTTGTAGCTGAAAGATGTTAATGGAGCTGTCTTTTCTGTAACTGACTGTTTAGAGTGGGGGCACTTGGGTGAGAGTGTGGCTGGAGGAAGGTTGTCCTCTGAGCGTTCCAGGTGTACTCGGAAGACAATTCATGTGGGTCTCCTTGCCACTTGTAGTCTGTGCCCCGGTGACTGGCACAGAACAAAGCCAGCTAGTGCTCTGGGGAATAAATGCCTTAATCTGCTTGAGCTGCCACCACCACTGGGGCTGCTGTGCCAGAGCTGATCGGCTAGGCCTCCTTCTCCTGCTCTGGTCTTTTCCTGTGGCGTGAAACCGAAGGTCACAGTCACTAATGTTAGGCTAGTGATGAGTTTAGGAGGGGTCTCCCCATCCCCTAAAGAAGATATTGTACTTTGTCACTTGAGAAATAAGCTGTGAAATTTATGTGGAACAATGCACTATATTTACAAATTAAAATTATTACTCTTTTAAGACACAGGCCCTTCAGGGAGATGTGCCTACCTGTCCTCACAGGTGAGCTGACCAGGGTCCAGGACACTATTGCCCACCTGTCCTGGGCCTCAGAGTCTTTTAAAATATTCAAAACAGAATCTTGTTGTCTTACTTTATCCCCATATACTGCTGCATACATATTGCCTGTGTCTTACTGCAGAATGAACATAAGCTATTCAGTTTAAGTTGGTAGATTCAAGGAAGAAATTATATTTGCAGCCAGGGGTGGTAGCGCGTGAGAGAAGGAGAATTGAAAGTTGAAGCCAGTCTGGGCAGTTTACTTAGTGAGGCTCTGTGTCAAAGTAAATTAATTTTCAAAAGGCTGGGGATACAGCTTAGTGTGAAGGCCCTGGGTTCAGTCCCTAGTACCGTCAGAAAAGAAGTGTATTGCAAAAACCAATACTCAGTGATAGAGCACTTGCCTAGCATGCACCCAGCCCTGGGTTCAGCCCCAGCACCAAAAAAAAAACAAAACCAGTCTTTAACAACAACAACAAAAATAGATAAGGGAGGGTGATGGGGGTGTGTGATCAAAATATGCTAAATGCCTGTATGAAAATGCTACAGTGAAACCCAGTATTTTCTAAAGTTAATATGCACTAAAAAATGAAAAGCAATAATACGTGCAATGTTAGAATAGCCCAGCCCTACCAGCCTCCTCTGCAAAATGTGATTTATATCGTACAATACTATTTTGTAGTAGGTTTTTGAAATGACATCCAAGTATAGCTAATGGCGTGTTTACTAACCTAGAGCTGTAGCCAGCAAATTACAATATATGCTGATCCCGTCCTGAACCATGCTGTGGTTAATCCAGCACTCCCTATTCTTACGTGCTCTCTCAGAAGACTGGGGCCCTGGGCATCTCCATTGATTCTGCCCTTCCTGCATATTTCGCAGGGTCTGGTCTGGTCTGGTCTGTGGGTTATCTGCACCAGGACCACTTAAGGGCTTTAAGATTGCACCTTCCTGGACACTCCCCCTGGCAGAGGCTCAGCTCCAGACCTCCTGGTGGATCTGTTTACATCTGTGTATTTATTTGAGTGAACTAGCAGTTAGCTACTCAGCTTCTCTTTCCATAGAAGAAAGAGCCCACCTCCTTATCTCCTTTCCCCAAAACCAACAGGACATTTATCTCTAAGATGAACAAGTGTGGCTACCAGGGACCTGTAGCGCCAAGCTGCTGGCTGGGTTGCTGTGTTCCTTAGGTACATGTTCTGATAAGCCAGCTTCTGACAATGACTGGCTCCTTTGATGGTGCTTTGTGTTGTCAGCCCAAGTGTGAACCAGACAGAACCTTCTAAGTGAGCTTGTTAGAATTCAGCAGGCCTCAGGGGAATTAGCCCAGGGAGTTGTTTTTGTTTTGAATAGTGAGAAGTAGGAAGTACACTTCCAAGTACTCTTGTCCAGAAGAAACCTGGCAGTTGACTGAAGTCCAGCTTTTAATTCACAAGATTGTGTACTCTGTGGGAGCAGAGCTTAGGCCCAAAACACCTTCTAGAGTAACGCGTGGCCCACAGGTATTTCTGCTGAGAAAAATCAAATTTCTCCCATTTATTTACATTGGGTAACTTGGCTAATAATTTTTGCCACTCCGCCAGCTTGAAACACAGGCAATCTACATTTCAGTGTCTTCCTTTTGATAATTGATGATTTCTTCATTTCTAACTCTAGGGGTGGAGGGGATTTCATGGGATCCCAGTGTAGTGGGCACCAAATGAAGATGCTATCTTTGCCTTTAATTTTGTAAAAAGCATCTAAGTTGGGGGGAAGAATGCCTGGCTGCTAATAAAAGACAAATGATTGGATGCCTGTGATAGTTAATTCTTGAAGGACTGAAAACCTAGGAAAAATTTGAGAACTGTGACATCGTTATCACCTGGCATCATATCTACCCTGAAATCTTATTTTCTGCCAGTGGTTTAAAATGCAATTTTAATGACCTTTACAGATAAACATTAGAAATACTTGTATGACAAGGATAGAACCAAAGTAATTTTTTATGATTGAAAGTAGATTGAAATGCCATGCCTGACTTACCCTAAAAGCTCCCTGCACCATCCTCCTTCTCCACCCAGACTGCCTTAGCAGCTGCCATCTGGCTTATTCAGAGTACAGGGGACTCAGGAGGTCTTTGTGTCCCCACCCTCCACATTCAGGGCTCTGGGATACCTGCCTTGCTAAAGCCCTAAAGCTTCATGGGATCATTCCTAAATTTATTTGAGTTGGAGCTGAGAGGCAGAGAAAACGGGGCTAGAGTTTTGAGAAAAATCGGCCAAAACTTTGATGTGTTCATTTTAGCATGCTTTTAGAGAGCTGTGATTTAGTATCAGTTCTGCGGAGCTTTTACAGAAATGCAGAATAGGAAGCTGTATTCTGTGTTCCTGTGAAATATGGGCAACCTAGGTTTTTACGTATTTTGTGGTGGTTTAAAGCGCAGCACATGTGTTTAGCTGGCAGTGCTTCCATACGTGCTTTCGCAGCGAGTGAACAGAAATGGAACAGAGTAGCAGTTGGAATCCCATAGTCTTATCTCTTCCTGCACACATTACTGCTCCGGTCCCGCTCTCCTCTGACTGCGATGCTTTTCCTTGTGGCATGTGAGTACTGTTTTCCTAATGTACGATGGGACCTTTGAAGACTCACGGTTTTGTTCTTCATGTTTGGCTGTCGTGTGTCCTTTAATGGTTTCATTAGCCAGTGGGTGTGAATGTTAGTGGCAACTTAATGAAAGGGCCAACCGCCTTCTTTTCTCTCCTTTCCAAGAAGCCTTTGCTCTTAGGCCCAAAACACTTCCTCTCCCCATGTGGTGTTTGCAGACTTAAACCTATCTTTATTGGCTGTATTAATATTGAAACAAAACATGTAATTATGCTTTCATGTGGCCCTGGATAGCAGAAAGACTGGCTGTTTGTATCACTAAACCTACTTCCATAGAAACCAGCTCCAACTGGTCAGATTTCTCAGCTTTTGCATTTTGCTTTAGAAGGGACAGCTATTACATGTTATATTCCTAGGTAGTGGGTTGACATTTTCCTAGGGACTTTTACTTGTCAAAAGATTAAAATGGGTATTTTACTAAATTAAATTTTTAATTTCTCTTGTGATTCAAGTCTCTATGTCCCTCTGTCTATTCCTGTGCTAGGGATGGGGCCTTGTGCATGCTAAGTAAGCATGCTGCCATTGAGCGCCCCAGCCCTCAAGTACGATTCTTGGGTGACGTTCATTGTACCATTTTTGTTAGTCTTTTGAAATGCAAGTGTGTATAAATGGGATAGGAAGTATTTAACTCATGCAGCCCTGAACCTCCAGTTCTGTAAAAGGAAATTAATCTTTATCCCTATTCTTTGGGCAGAATTATATAGCACACTCTGCCTCTGTCATCTTTAATGCATGATTGTAGTTGTTGAAGTCTAGGATCTTCCAGAAAGGAGAAGGTGCGGGGGGTGGGCCAGCATCTAGGCCCATACCCATGGAACATTTCTAGTGCTGAGTGGACCGCAGGGTGACTTCTCTCCTTTCTTTCTACACAGCTTCTTTGCGGCAGTCTCAGGCTGAACCTCCGGATATGCGCCCAGAGATATGGATCGCGCAGGAGTTGCGACGCATCGGAGATGAGTTTAATGCCTCTTACCCAAGGAGGGTAAGGATGTGTTTGCTGCCCCTCTTCCCCTCAGACTACCCACCCCATCCCATACTATAAAAGAAAGAAAAAACAGAATAAGAGCTACATACTGATTTTAGAAGTGAAGGCATTGCCTACATGTGACCTTCCATTGTTTTGCCTCTACTAGTTTCCATTTATTTATGGCTGAATTTAAGTGATGTCTGTTAGGTAAGATACAGTATGAGGCTGCAAAAGTGCTTTATGAGCAAAGACCTTAAAACATCACTGCTAAAAGTAGAGGTTATTTTTAGGCTTTGCAATACTCCCATGTAAATACTATAGTCCAAATGAAGTGCTTCTGCACTCCTTGTAGACAGTTTGGGTCTAAGTTACAGAAATTTTTTTTTTTTTTTTCCTCGTGCTGGGGATCGAACTCGGGTCCCTTTGTTTGCGAGGCAGGTGATGGCACCACTGAGATAAATCCCTGGCCCCAGAAATTTTAAATGTGCATTGTCACAGCTCCAGGGAGCAGTACCAACACTAATGTAAAACTCCTGACACCTGCAGCTGCCTGCTGGCGTCCGTCCTCTCAGCCCTTTGGTGGTACTTGCACCTCTATGGATGGAAGTTTGAGGAGGTCACTAATCAGCAGCCTGCAGTTTGGGGTATAAGGCTAGTTGACTGCCACATTAACTTTGAGATGCATTCTAGATTCTTACAGGAGAATTATATCTTCTGCAGATGCAGAGTATTTAAAAACATTTTTTTTTTCTGTTTCTTGCCTGGTGGAGTATTGTATGACCTTCAGACCCTTTTCCACATCAGGGTGGGTTTGAGTGGTAGGATTTAACTCTGGGGTCATTATGAGCACAGGTGACTGTCCTCGGAGGGCCACATGTTAATGTTACAAGGGATCAGAGGTAACTCTGACTTGAGCACATTCCTTCAGACACCTCCTGTGAAGATTTCTCATCTGAAAGGAAGGGGGTTCGTTGTCTCACTTTATGGAAAATATTACAATTAATACCATTCTCTCATTCTGTCACTCCTCTCCTGGCTTTATTTTTTTCTGAAAATTACATTCTCATGGAAGTACCTCTACAGGTTGTAAGATCTCTTTTCTCTCCGGGAGGGAATCTTTACTGATTCCTCCGAGTCACTCCTGTCGTTTGGGTGGTATACAGTGCTGAGCCCACTCAAGCTTCCTCTTGTCAGGGTCCCTCATTCCTTCATAGAGGCTGTCAGGGAGTGTGGTCCTGCATGTCAGGCTCTTTTCCTGTCTTTCTGAACCCATGGGTGTGTGTGTCCCTGTGTGTGGTGGGAAGTGCTGGAATCACGGTTCTGTCATCGAACAGGAAGTGTCACATTGATGAATGGGCTGAGGGTATTCTCATGATACTGTCCACAGCTGGCACATGCCTGATGCCTTCCCACTGTGAGTGAGCTCACAGATCATAAGTACTTGGCGGCCCATACCTGAAATGATGCTTTTTTTTTTTTGAAAGTTGGTTGAATGCTGTAATTTGCCACTAAAGTTATCATACAGTCTCTGCAGTTCTTGCAGTTTTGGTGTTAGTGTGTGTGATGAGCCTTGGTTCTCATCAGAAACTGGGCCACGGTGTCCCGGAGGTTGGCCTTCAAGCTGAAGCAAGGAGGATTTGTGTCCCTTCAGGAGAGCAGGCGGTAACAGTAGAGTTCTGGATCTGGGGCTGTGTCTAGAATCCCCCAGGATGGGTCAGGTCATTGCTGAGCCAAGACAGCCAGCTGCCTGTCATGCTGGGCCTGACACCTGACACCTCCTGTCTCAAAGGGACCCTGGTTGCTTGGGGCTGGAACTGACTGGAGTAGGGCTGCCCAGGTGGAGCCAGGCCAGGCCCTTAAGTGTCTGAGAGCTGCTGGGAGCGCTTCACACAGCCATGCTCATAGATAGCTGCCCTTCTCATAGCCAGGACAGAGCTGTTGGCTGCAGAACTGAATGTGTTTAAAGATGTTTTGAGAAAGTTTCTCTTTAAACCACAAAGTGAACTCACAACTCTGCAAGGCTTCCTGAAGGCCTGCCAGGTAGGGCCAGTGAGGTAGGTCCCTAGCAGGAATGAGACATGGGTGGAAGTGAGCTCAGCCCATCTCTGGGCATCCCTGACAGAGGCTGTCACTGTGCTGGTGCACAGTTTGAGACATGGGCTTTCCTGACCTTGCCTCAACCTAGTGGATGAGATGGCAGTGTGGGGTGGGGCGGGGCTCCCTCCTCTCGGAGTGTTGTTTCAGTGTCACATTTAATGGGCATCTATGATAGTCATGTCTGTTTTTCCTGTGCTTTTGTTAAAACAAACATGTTAGGCCTATTGCACTATTTTGCAAGATTTTGTAAGTGTGTGCACTTATTTTGCATATTTTAAAAATAATTCAGTGCTAAAATACGGTCACTAAGAGAAGACTTTAGCTTTTGTAGCAGGCTGGGGTACTGGCAGAAAGGACTAGAAAATAAATGCTGGTTATAACATAATTTTTCTGAAATGAGGACAGTCACATTCTCCAGAATAAATATAAATAGCCAATTTAGAACACAGACTCTGAAGCTCTGGTCAGTCCCACAATGACCCTCAAAGCCACCAGTGCCTGTCTTGCTAGTTGTTAGGTCAGGGCAGTCCGGCGTCGGTGACCCCAGTGACATTCATTGCCATACACAGGGAGGAGGACATGGGGAGCGGTCTGCCATGCTGTGACTCGGGGGACCTCCTGTCTTTGCACAGTGCCTGCACCTCTTGGGGAACTGGCACTTGCACTGCTGTGCCCCTCCACAGTGGTTTCAGCCTCTTTAAACATTTCCATCTGTCGGTTTGGGTTTTTTCCGAACCTCCTGTAAAGCATTGGTGTCCTTGCTGCGATCCTGACAGAGTGTTCTCCTGTTTTTCCAGTAAGAGACATAGAGGACATTATTCTGTGGTTGTCCTGTGCTGATAGGTGGGCTTTGGGGTGGAGCTGTGAGGCAAACCTTGAAGGAGGCGAGGGGCACAGGTGAGCATCTGCTCCCATCCTCTCTCTCTTTGCTCCTGGTGTTTCCCGCCGGCCCGCAGAGAGTTGTCACTGAGCCTCGCTGATTTCTGCCAACTTTTTATTTTGAAATAACTTCACGTTTATATCGGTGTTGGAAGAAAGGTACAGAGAACTCTGCTAGTCTGCCACCTTTGAGTCCCCAGTATGAAGATGTCGTCACATTTGGTTTAACAATGTCCCTTTTGACACGTGAATTATTGTTTCTACATGGTGCCCCTCTTCTGGCCCTTAATCCTTCAGTGTGCATTTCCTAGGAAGAAGAACATTCTCTTACATAATCACAGTGTAACTGTCAAAATCAGGAAGTGAATTGTGTTCTGGTTCTTTCATTTGATTTGTAGTCTTCAACTTTTTTCAGTTATTCCCAAATGTCCTTTATATCCTGCTGCCAAAAAAATATCAAATAGTTATTTTCTGGGGTCAGGGATTTAGCTGTGTGGTGCCACCGCCTGCCTTGTGAGCACAAAGTTGCTAGTTTGATCCCTAGTACCAAAAAAAAAAGGCATTTCCCCAGTCTAGGGTCATTCCTTGAGTTTTGGTGTCTTGTCCCTTGTTCCATTGATTTGGAGCTGCTTCTTGGCCTTCTCCCTTGTGACAGTGCCATGTGTAACCTGGGAAACTCTAGACTCACAGCAGTTGGTTTGCCTGATACTTCTGGGTGGTATGTTACGGGTTTTGTGCAGGAACACTGTTGTACGTGTCCCCAGTGCCTCAGCCCCTCTGTCTCCTTCCTGGTGCTGTTCAAGAGTTGTGTCTTCCACTGTAGAGTTAAGTTTGCTGGTAGCAAAGAGCTTATAAAAGGAGGTGATTTCCTCTCTCCCGTCTAATTTGTTTCATTTGCCTTCTTGGGTTTGCTGGTTCCAGTTTGTCCCCTGGGTTATTATGCATTCGTTACACTCAGCCCAGTGTCTCACTAACCAGACCAGTGAGGCCCTCAGAAAGAAACTTCAGGGCTGGGAATTTAGCTCAATGGTGCCGGTGCCTGCCTCGCAAGCACAAGGGTCTGAGTTCCATCCCAGGTACCAAAAAAAAAAGGGGAATGAAACTTCAGTAGCTGTGAGACAAAGCCCAGACATCAAGTTTGATGGGACCCTAGGAGGCAGTGTGGGTCACTGAATTGACCACACCCACATGGTGTGCTGCCAGTCTCAGCTCCTTCTGTCCACACTGCAGCATGGAATACATACACGGGACTTGTGGAGGGTGGGCAGGGACTGTGGAAAGGCCAGGGAACACAGGGATGCCAGGGGCCTGGAGGAAAGAGGTTGGAGGCTCTTTGCGTTTGGCAGGGTGGTTTGGGTCATCTGTACGGCAGCAGGACAGGTGGTACCTTGAAGCCTTGACCTGGGGGCAGGGAGCCTCCACACCGAGACAGCTAGGTTTGCTCAGAAGAGTCCTCACTGGCTCCTCCCAGGACTCAAACTACATGAGGGCACGTGCTGGCCTGTCTGGTGGAGGTGATGTCAGTCCAGTCATGGCCCTGAGCCAGTGTGAACGCCAGCTCCGGAGGCGTGGCATCCCCTTGGTGGGCATGTTGACCACAGGGCAGTGGAGAAGGCTGGGCCCTTCAGAACATGAAGATGTGTTTCTGGAGTCACTGGACCTTTCTGCAGCTATTCCCTGCTCTCCACACTGCTTCCTGGGTCTGTGTCCGGCACCTCACTCCAGACTGGTGCAGAGAGCCTGCTCTTGGTTTGAGGGGCCTTGGAACGCTCCGGTGGTAGACAGCTTGGACAGCTAGGAGTGACTCTCTGATGGACTCTGCAGATGGGGCAGGCAGTGAATGAAGACTCTCATTATCTGATCTCAAGAAACACTGCGTCTTTTGTTTACATTGCCTACTTCCTTCTTTGTCCGGGGCATGTGCAGGCATGAATTGATTAAAGTGCTGCAGACCAGAGTGTAGCCCTGAGTCAGATAAAGTAGAGGGAAGAGCAGCCTGCAGAGTAGTTTTGATTAAACAAAAGTTTACCGGAAGTATC